GTGACTAATAATATTTGAGTCCGGAGTGACGTGTGTTAAATTTCGCGAAAATCGATCAGATTTCGATATAGCTCCCACATATATTTTCGTCCGATTTTACGTTAATGGTTCATTAAAGCTCCTAAATTTTTTCGATTTGCACGAAATTTTCCATAGCATACTGAATTGAGTCTAGGGTAATGAGTGTTAAGTTTCGTGAAAATTGGTTCAGATTTAGACATAGCTCCCACATATATGTTCGTCCGATTTTGTGTAAATGGTGCATTAAAGCCCCTAGATTTCTTTCAATTTGCACGAAATTTTGCATAGCGCACTGAATTGAGTCTACACACATCACTGTGTGTTAAGTTTCGTGAAAATCGGTTCAGATTTCGATATAGTTCCCATATACTGTTTCGTCCATCAAAAAGTCAATTTCGAATTTTTCTGTAGTTACGTCCGTTTGCATTTATGATGACGATATACTCCATGAGATACATCAACGATCTTTCTCTCTGGCAATTTACGAGAGTTGTTATTTATATTTTGGAATAAGCTACTCCTCTCCAACAACTTTTAATCCATAAACATTTTAAGAAACCTAAATTTTTCGCGACCAGATTACCTTTAAATTATTATTAATCTCTGTGAAATATATCTCATTCCGATCAAGGGCATAATGTCAAACCAGGAAATATATTTTAGGCGTTTCATCTCAGAGTAATGACCGGACCAAATTGATAGCTATAATTATTGTGAAGTGAATGAGGATGGATGTGTGTAGCCACCAGGAAAAGGGGAAGATTACCAGGGTCCTACCCATCGTGTCTACAGGTTTCACGAATGCAGTGTAACCTGACAACTTTGTTGGCCAATTATAAAAAAAAAACTTCAACAGGGAGGGAGTCTGTTCATGTCTTCGATATACCACATGCAAGAGGAGACAAAGTCCTAGAAATATAAATAGAAACCCTCGTAACGTCATAAATTACAGATTTAGAAATACGATAATCATCATGTAGGTTTTATTAAGAAAAATAAAGCAATGTTATGAGTACCGAAGTCGGAAGACGTATTGTGGATAACAACTAGTTAGACCATTCTCATTATGGTGCTGCAATGGATAGGCATTTAGATGTACACAATAGCGGCCAATCGTGGAGTTATGGTGTTAACAATTCCACTCTATAGAAGTCGTGGATTCTTGACGAACATTTTTCTACGCTCTAAAGAAGGCATAGAAAAAATATTCTTTAAAAATCCACGCTTTATATAGAGAATAGTTTCATCAATTTAAATCGTTTCCAATTTTAGTCGATCCTCAGATACAGGTCGTAGAAAAGCACTAATCAAAACTTGTGCTATATAGAGAGTGCGAGTTTTTTTGTGATCAGCCACTTTAAACATATGTCTCTCATTCGGTGTATCTTATACGACAAATCAAACCTCTCACTTTGCTTTATTGATGACCATCAAGAACAGTTATCTTAAATCTTAATAATTAAAAACAAAAAATAACTATATAAAATTTTTAGACAATGGAATGGTACGTTTAAACGAAAAAATGGGCACTAAAACAACATCTCTAAACAACCTCCTTTCTTCCCCTTCCAAAGTAAAAAAAATTGCAGCAGGCCAACAAAACCGCAAAAAAAGTTTCTATGGTAACGAACCACAAGGAGATATTCAAAACCATAGCCAACATCATTGTTACTACGGAAAAAACGAAGATTTCTTTTATAAATTTCTTTAAATTGAAATTAATATACAACAATACAAAAAAGTAGTAGAGACAAAAAGAAAAATAAGAAATGAAGGATTATCATTAAAACAACAAAAAGAATAAAAAACACAACATTTTATCGAATTTATTAACAAAAAATAAAACACTAAACATCTTACACAAGGGTGTTTTTTGAATAATTAACTTATATTGATAAATAATCGTATATAATAATTGAATGAAAGAAAAAAACAAAATATATACACACAACACAGTAATAAGACAAACGCGGAAAATCATGATCAAGCGAAATAAAAAGTTTTTAAATGTTACTCAAATACACAAACAAGAAAACAAAAAAAGAAAAAAAACATTATACGACCACGGATTATACATGGTAAACAGGCAAAAAAAACTAAAACGATAAATTTATATTTAATAAACAATTATATATGTTTTAAATATATTTGAAAAAAGAAAAAACCAACAAATTCATACTCACATATTTTCCAAAGGAGAACAAAAAAAGAAAAACAAAGCAAAATGGTAAATTAATCTGCAATGAAATGTACCATTTAGAATGAAATAAAACAAAACGTATCAAAAGTAAATAAATAAAAAGATCAAACGATAAAATACCATTAAACAAAAAATATTACAGAAAAAAAGTAAAGGAAAAAACAGAACAGAACTTGTATTAATTGATAATATCAACAATAAAAAAAAACGAATAAAATAAATAACAATGTTGTTTTCATTTTGGTAGTTTAAAATTTCAAGATATATTCAATGCGATATTTCCATGGTAACAAGGCTCAGGATATGTTTTCATTTAACAAAAAAATGTGCCTACTTCCAATGGTTACAACTGCAGATCTTCCGCTGTAAGTTTAGTAGGCTTAGTAGGATAATTGAATAGGTATAGCTTACTGTGTGCTAAATACAAATTGGACGTGTTTAAGCAAAAACTACTGTGCGAAAAGTTGTATTGACTCCGAGGACGGTGTTAGCTCTATTTTAATTTATAGCTTTAACTACAATGGCATCAGGATGAATACTATTCAAACCAACTTGCTGTTTTAAATATTCGATTTTATACATTTGGAGACATTTCTCGTTAAGTCAGATCCTGGGTGAGGAAATTTTATCCACAAAATGATAGTTAGGATGAGTCTCTCTGAAACACCCAAGCAGGAACTGCGCAGAAAGTATATTGCTATCCTGACGTATAGGCCGAATCCTCGTCTAGCAGTTGATAAACTTTTGAATGAATTTTGTGCCTACTGTCGAATGTGAGCCTGAAGAATATACGCATTCATTGCATAGGTTGGGTTTGGGGATGTGCTGTCACTAATGTGGCTACAGCACTCTGAGACCGTCAGGTCCATTGTGATCAGAAGAAAAGAAGGGGGATAGAGAGAGAGGGATCAGAGTTTAAAGTAATCAGTCATGGTGCCCTGGTATCGAACACAGCCGATAGCTGTAAGTTCTTTCAAACCTGTTGTTCTACACTTGAGGAGGGCCTCAGATTTTATGTAACAGGATTTGATGGCCTTCAGAGCCGCTTATCTATCTACAAAGATAGTCACCGGTTCAACGATCTCTGCATCCAGACTTTTTATCAATTCCGCTGTCTTCCAAATCGCGAAGATTTCAGCTGGGAAAACACTACAGTTGCTATCCAGCTCGTAGGTAAGTTCAAGGCCTAGCCTTTCACAGTAGACGCCAACCCTTGTACCTTCTTTCATCTTGGATCCGTTTGTATAGAAAGAGGAGGGTTACTTCGGTTTCAGTCGTATCTACTAGAATAACAACATCTATAAATATCAGGACTGGTGATATATAGTCGCTTATGAAGTCATATGTTTCCAATTATTTCATAAATTTCCCATTATCCATTTCTCAAATGAGACTACCTTCCATAATTATACCATAATCCAAGCATAAAATAAAAAGTCCATCCTTGTTATAGTCTTTGGGAATACATTTAAAGAAATTTATGGAACAAGTTGAGTTTAGGGGCTCATCTCGGATTTTTCTGAAATTTTTGCTACATGTAGGGCTCGTCTCCCTGATCACGAAAATATATGACTTTCATGTGGGAAGTCCATAATTCCCGTGATATGAAAAATCGGAGATGAGCCCCTAAACTGAACTTAAGCCAAATTTATCCTTGGTGTAGTCTTCGGGAAAGTAATATTTTTAAAAATTTCTCCTTGTATATATTCTTTGAAAAAAAAAATATTTTTAACAAATTCCCGCTTTTTGGAAAATAATTAAAATATTCCTTAAACGTTTCTTGAATAAATATTTTAAAAATCTTCGCTTATAATGGTCTTTGGACTTTTTTTAATTACCATTTTTTAAAACTGGTAATTTTTTATTATAAATTCCTTAAAGACCACACCTCGTACATGTTCCTCAATTGACGCCGTTAGCAATAACATATAAGCATGAACTATGAACTCTTCTCACACAGTTATCGTTTAAATATCGATACTAATGCATGCTATCGATAGTATTTTTGCCATTAGCTCCACCGAAACCCCAAGAAAACATCATTTAGCTGCTGTCATTCAAAGGAGAAGTTACCCGACAACAGCTCCTTGCCGTTTACAATTCTTAACTATTAACATACAGAAAAAATATTATAATTACAAGAGTGAAAATCACAAAATCTTCCAGGCAAAAAAGATCTAATAAAACGAGGTAAGTTTCCATATATTTGCAATAAATTAAAATCAAATTATATCCTTCATGTTGGTTCATAAAAATAATGAAAAACAGAAAATGCTGTGCAAAATTCCATTAAAAAATTATACCTATATCATATAACATTTTGAGGAAGAAAAATACTTTTTTCATTGGATCGATAAATTTTCATTTAAGCTCACCCCCCACCACTACCACCCTTGGCAGTGGAGCAAAAAAAGGAAGGCTGTTAAGAACACCACCATTACCACCCTCCATTTAAGGAAAAACAAGGAAAACAACCACTTTGAAAATTATAGTAAACAGAGAGCCGGATATTTTACGTGTACTTGGCAAAAATAGAGAGCAGAGTACATACAGAGAGAGAGGGAGAGAGTGCACAATCAGCTGTTTGTTATTTTTGTTTATTTCATCAGTAGACGACGACCTCCTCTTTCATTGAGTCACCTCGTCTTGTTTGTTTCTGCGGCTGCTGTTGTTTTGGAATCACTTAAATCAAAATGTCCTATGTAAGCATAAATGTTATCTGGATAAATCGGTCGGTTTCCTAACCCCCTCTTTAATTGGTTAACAACAATTTTTATAGCGCATGAAAGCCACCAAATGTCCCACAGACGAGTTATCGTTGACCAACAAGGCCATTGTCAATGTTAATGATTTTCCGGAAGATGTTAAGTACGTATTCTTGTTGTTGTTTTCACAAAAGAAAGTTATTGATTTTTTTCTTCTGCTTCTTTTTTTTCTCTAGGTATGCAGATATTTCACCCGGACCGGGTCAACATTATATTTTTGCTTTGGAACGTACGGCTGAAGTGCCACGCGGCCATATCGGTTTCTCATTGGTTCAGCGCAAATGGGCCACATTATCTATTAATCAAGATATTGAAGTTCGTCCATATCGTTTTGATGCCCATTCAGATGTCATTACCTTGGTCTCATTTGAGACAGATTTCTTGCAAAAGAAAACGTAAGTTATGCTATGTATCTTATATATATTTAGGTATCAACACCTCCCCAGAAAAAAAGGAGGTCATTCTAATGCGACATAATTTGATTTATTGTTGCATTAATATTGTATTTGTTGTGGGGTATTACTCATATGAAGCAATACAGGGGGGATGCATGCATGATTGTGACTAATTTTTGTTAATATTGAATAATTATTGAAATAATTTCACGAGCCTAAATTTTATTGTTTATATCGTAAAGTGCTGATGATTCAAAATCGATGACTTAAATATTTCGGGATGAATGACAAGTTGAGTTATCTTGATGCCACTGGAATCCTCGATAATTACTTATTCAATCAATAATAGCGAACACCTTAAGATATGAAATGAAAATTATTAGTGCCAATATCAAAAAGTAAAAAAAAAAACGGTGGAAGCAAATTAGAAAAATAGATCAGCCGCCACTCCACTCGGATCCATTGTGTTCATCCTGCAAACCTGAAAATAAGATAAGAAGAGAGTACGACGTTGTTGTTTTTACACAATTAACTGAGGCGATAGCCTTTGGCCAAGTGAGATTCGTGTCGCGTCGAATCACATAGCCTTCGGAGAATTAAGTGTTGAGATTAATACTATACTGGGAGTGCATAAAAATCGAAAAAGTGACAAAATTTTTTTTTGGATAAGAAGGGTATTGGAAAGAATACAAAAATTGTATGGTGTCATTTGCCACACCCGGAAAATGTCTGGAAAACTTTTTCAATTGCCCTTTATCTGGGAGGGTGGATATGTCTAGATGTGCCATAAGCGATTAGGTAGTCATAATTCATGTGGGGTATTGAAATTCTCTGGCACCAGACGATTATTGCCCTACAAAATTGGGCTAATGTCAGGTGAATAATGTAGGTCACAACCACGCTTGACCATTACCCCCATACATGTCATGTGTGAGTCAATAAAATAATAATACTGCAGATAATTTGGTCCGATTTCAAGAAAATGTTACTCCCAAAAGGCTGCGTTTCTCACAAATTTCACCTCAGACTGTGAAATATAGTCCAAGATAACTCGTAGAAATTTTGTCTTAAATCGACTCATATTAAAATTCAAATCTCAAATTAAAAATTACTTTTATTTCCATATCCCAATAAAATATTAATATTTTTTTTTTATTATCTGATTTTTATAAATCAATTTTATTGCGAACCAAAATCAAATGACCATCAACTTTGCCCACTTTCAGAACTTCCCAAGAACCCTATGATTCCGACTTAATGGCCAAGGATTTTCTAATGCAATTTGGTGGCATGGCCTTGACAGTTGGCCAAACTCTTGTCTTCAGTTTCCAGGATAAAAAACTTCTGGGCTTGGCTGTTAAAACACTTGAAGGTAAGTAGGCCAAACGACAAACAATTTCTTACAACAACAAAATTAATAACTCATCCTTCAATTAGCAATCGATCCAAAAGCCTTGGGCGAAGGCAAAGAGACAACAACACGTTCGGTACGTTTTGGCCGTATCACGGGCAATACAATTGTACAATTTGAGAAAGCTGAAAATTCAGCTTTGAATTTACAAGGAAAATCTAAGGGTAAAATTGTACGGCAATCGATTATTAATCCTGATTGGGATTTCGGTAAAATGGGAATTGGTGGTTTGGATAAAGAATTCAATGCCATTTTCCGTCGTGCTTTTGCATCACGTGTCATACCTCCCGAAATTATTGAACAATTGGGTTGCAAGCACGTTAAGGGTATTTTGTTGTACGGTCCTCCCGGTACTGGTAAAACACTTATGGCTCGGCAAATTGGTAAAATGTTAAATGCCCGTGAACCGAAAATTGTCAATGGTCCACAGATTTTGGATAAATATGTTGGTGAATCTGAGGCCAATATTCGTCGTTTGTTTGCCGAAGCTGAGGAGGAGGAGAAGAGGGTGAGTAGAAACGAAATTGGAAATTAAAACGATTTTAAAAATAAAATTTTTGTTATTATACATTTTCCAGTTGGGTCCCAACAGTGGTCTACATATAATTATTTTCGATGAAATCGATGCCATTTGCAAACAAAGAGGTTCCGTGGCCGGCAACAGTGGTGTTCACGATACCGTTGTCAATCAATTGTTGGCCAAAATCGATGGTGTGGAGCAATTGAACAACATTCTTGTCATCGGTATGACCAATCGTCGTGATATGATTGACGAAGCTTTGCTGCGTCCCGGCCGTTTAGAAGTTCAAATGGAAATTAGTTTACCCAACGAACAGGGCCGTTGTCAGATTTTGAATATTCACACCAAACGTATGCGTGATTTTAATAAAATTGCACCCGATGTAGATTGCAAAGAATTGGCCGCAGCCACGAAGAATTTCAGTGGTGCCGAATTGGAAGGTTTGGTGCGTGCCGCTCAATCGACAGCAATGAATCGTCTCATTAAGGCCGATGCCAAGGTGACAGTCGACCCCGAGGCTATGGAAAAACTAAAAGTTACACGTGCCGATTTCTTCCATGCCCTGGAAAATGATATTAAGCCGGCATTCGGTACGGCCCAGGAGGTGTTGGAAACAATGTTGGTACGCGGCATTATCAACTGGGGTCAACCGGTGTCACACATTCTCGAAGATGGTATGTTGTATGTTCAACAGGCCCGTGCTACTGAAAGCTCCGGTTTGGTATCCGTACTCATTGAGGGCCCTCCAAATGCTGGTAAAACTGCTTTGGCAGCTAAACTGGCACAAATGTCCGATTTTCCATTTGTTAAGGTGTGTTCACCAGAGGATATGGTGGGCTATACCGAATCTGCCAAATGTTTGCACATTCGAAAGGTAAGGAGGGGTATTTTTTTTTTTAATATAATTTGTTTTTTATAGAAGTGTGTCCTTTCAGATTTTCGATGATGCCTATCGTAGCATGTTAAGTTGCATTGTTGTCGATAATGTTGAACGTTTATTGGACTATGGTCCCATTGGACCACGTTATTCCAATTTGACATTACAAGCCCTCTTAGTATTACTTAAGAAACAACCACCAAAAGGACGTAAACTTTTGATTTTGGTTACCTCCAGCAGGCGGTAAGTGGTGAACACACATTCAATTCAATTTATTTCATAAACGAGAACCTAGCCCCAAAGGGCCATGAGCGATTCCAAAAACTTCATTACATGGACTACTCCAAAAGCTTAAAATTAACAATATATTACGTATGGACTGTTCCCGTACTGCAAGAATCTACGAGATTTTACTATTTTCATCCATATCATAATGAAAATTCGTTATCGTAGTAAAAAGTAGTAGATTATTGCACTACGGGAGCAGACCATTAATCATATCATAAACAACATTACATGAACTACACTTCAAAAAATCTGCTACATACAGCATCAAAAGATTTTTCAATCTAATGTGGAACATATTTGCCGCAAAATAATTCGCAACGCCTATTTTCTTTTCCTTCTTTTTTTATTTACAGTGAAGTATTGGAAGAAATGGAAATGTTGACCGCATTTACATCTGTTCTACATGTACCTAATTTATCACTTCCCGAACAAGTTATTGCCGTACTAGAGGATTGTGATCTATTTAGCAAGGGTGAACTCCAGGCTATTGGCAAGAAAATGAGTGGCAAACGGTAGGTGTTGAAAAAATTATTCCCCTCCACACAAAAACAGTAAATTCCATTCTTCTTTTTTCTTACAGCGTTTTCATTGGCATTAAAAAATTATTGGCCCTCATTGATATGATAAGGCAAACCGAACCACAGCATAGAGCCATAAAATTCCTCTCGAAAATGGAAGAAGAAGGTGGTTTGGAAATGGCGAGACACTAACTACAACGTACAAGTTTTAATATGTCCGTGGTGGAGCTCAACGATGTTTTCTAAGATAAAGAGAAAAACAACAACAAGAACAAAACGGTCATAAATCTCTATTTAATAAGCTATAAAATTCGAAACAGATAAATAATTAATTGAAAAAATCTATTTAACAAAAAGAAATAATAACCTCATATTAGAGTTATAATAACACAGCAAAACATATATATTGCATTCAAAATAATTCAATTGCATTCAAAATAATTCAATATTATTTAAAAACAATTATATCCCCCGAAAAAAAACACACATACATACAAGCAGAAATATTAACCTCAAAAATGATTACGGGCTATAACCACCACATATGAAATTTTGAAAAACAGTTTCAATTTGTTTCGTTGTAATCTGTTGAGCTATAAATTGTTGTATTACAACCATGATGCTAATGATACTTAAAGCAAAAACAAAACCTCTATGGCTTAGTTATGCCGCGCTTAAAACAAATGTTATTCTACTCTCTCTGTGTCTCTGCATATATGTTTAAAATTTCCCTAATACCTAATCTTCTTCGTTACAAAAAATAGATCTCTCATAAATGATTATGCCAATCTCTGTTCTTTATTCCCTATATACCTACATATATATTCGATAGATTTGTCGTTAGATAAAGAAAAAAGTGTTGTTGAGATTTAATAGATAATCTGTAAGTATTTTTTAGTTAAATACATTCCATAAAAAATAAAACAAAACAAAAAACGTTTTTTCTGATCGAAATAAAAAAACACCAAAAACAAAATTTAAAATCATTTTTAATTTCGTTGTTTTTTCAAAATTGATAGCAGAAATTAAAAAAAAAAAATAACAAAAATATTTTTTTCATCGATTAAATTTTTGATTCCGATTTTTTTTAACGCCCCGAAAGTTGAGCATGTGCCCATTAAAATCCATCACCAATTCTGACTTAAATGATAGACCACAAATTTGGCCTTTCAAAAATGGTACGACGATATGTGGCTGTATCTGTTGTGGATCAAAAGATATGGTGGCCCTTTGAACCCTATAAAAACAAGAACATTTTTTCGACACGACAAAATCTCCGGATCCATATCCCCATAATTAGGGTATGTCCCCTATGATCAGGAAAATCTGATTGTTTTTACTAATATAGAGTTGCTCCGCGATGTCTTTGCCCTTTTCGCCACTGATTGATACGCCGCTCATCTGTGGACCTCACCTTTTTACAGCCTTCGAAATCGGCACTGCAAGAATGACCGGCAATTATTGAGGTGTGATCATCGCTTTGGATTACGAGTTCATATAAAACTTACAATGTTGACTAGAAGGAGTGGACCGATAAGTCCTACTATCTTACAAAATTATACAGACATGGCTTAAATTTGATTTGAGTTTAACCCTTTCAGTGCCACAAAAATTTTTTGTCGGAATAAAAATCTAAAATTTTGTACTTAAAATCATATAAAGGCACAGAGTTTAGAATAAAAAGCAATTCTTATTTTAAACCTCGGACTGTTTTGTCTGTCTTTCAGCAAAAACAAAGACATCAATTGTAACGGTACGTAGGATAACCGAAAAAATTGCAAAGGAAGAGAGTAATTTTAAATGTCGAATATATTCGACAAAAACACTGAAAGGGTTAAAAGAAATATAATGATGTGAAAAAAAGTTTGAATAAAATCGAGAGTTATCGTGTAAATCGACTCTAAATTGTCGGATTTGGTCCAACGGAACAGGGGGTTCATAATTAGTCGATATTTTATTTTAATGGTTCCGTAATTAGTCGATATTTTTATGTTTTCTGAACATTCACATAATGCCAATTTTCTCTTGTATAACATATGTTTATATATGTATTGTCAATATGACATAAAACTTTAGATTTTCCTCGAACCATTTGTGCAAAATTTATTCAAATCGGTTAAGTAGTCGCTGAGTTATTTGCATTTGAATTCAACGATCTTCCGAAATATACTTACTGTTCGGTGCTGGTCGCCTATTACCTAAAAATGAAAAACACCACAAAAATCGATCTTGTACATAGAAATGGATATTTTTTTCGTGACACACACAGTAGCTGATGTGTGTGGATGTGTGTGTGTAATTTTGCATCACATATGTATGTGCATAAATCACACCTACAAATCCAGCAACAAGGGTTGCCATGCTGCAAAAAAATCATATATATTTTGGATTGTTCATAACTTTTGAACTATAAAAGGTACTTTTATGATCTAGGTGCCATATGAAAGGTGGAAAGATAGTCTTTCTTATAATCTTTTCTTATATAAATTACAAAAAAATCTAGTTTTTAGAATATATTTTTTGTTGCGAAAATTAATTAGAAACTTTCCCAATGGCTTGAATAGAAAGTAAATATCCTCAGCTTCCCACTCCCGTTTGAATTTTTACTCAAATATTGGCGTTTTTGGTCAAAAATAAATTTTAAGTTGCAATCAAATCCAACGATTGTTTTTAACAAATACAACCATTTCAACGAATTAAGATAAATCATGCTTATTTTAATGTCTGGACATGTTCTCACTAGACATCATCACCCCAAATATATTGGAATTGTATAGCAAAATATATAATAAAATTAATTATTTATTTATGAAAAAAAATACTAAAAATTGTTATTACATATTAATTAAATATTCTAATCGAGAAATAAATTATTAAAATGAATGACAAAAAAATTGGAAAATTGTGAGTAAATTGTTATGAAAAAATATCATTATTCTATGTTTTGAGAAGAGAAGATGAAAATAAATAAATTATATAAATATACATACATATATTTACTAAATAAATTAAATCACAAGAAATTCAAAGTCAATGAGCAATTATAACCTATAAATATAAATAATGGAAATACAAAATAAATACTAAAGAAAATATTAAAAAAAAATTTAAATTTTTATTATTTTTTTATGGGTAAATCAGAGTTGTTGTAAAAGATTGTCTGCGGAAAATTGTTTTCCCCGTGTTGAAAGAATTAGTTGTTTGCTCTGTTACTTTCAAGATGGTGCAGTCGTCTCAGAATACGTAGAAAAAATTCTATGATATTCATGGCAATTCGGGTCAATATGGGGATAAGGTAGCTAGGTCTCCAGGTGGAGTGGCTGCTAACTGTATAGCGGTTGTCGCTCACCTATAATACCCGATGTATGATAGGTGAAAGTTCTCTCGCCTGAAACACATGTTCAATAATAATTTAACAAAAATTCAAATATTTCAAATTTTACCACAATTTTATTATTCCAACAATTATTACAAAAACAATTAACACAAAATTTCCTTTCAGACGACTTCCGCCTCTTTGACGCGCCCTCGTATAATGTATGGCCGAATATTTCAAATCAAAAACTTCAAATAGTACATTCGTCTGTAGACTGCACAGGCCAACCAATTCGCTAACATAACCCAAAAAGAAATTATAACAATAACAATTACTAAACGACAATTCCAATTGTTTGGCATCGGGTCCATGGAGTTCATCAATTGATGTCGTCGGCAGACAAATAAATTTCTTATAATAATTATAAACAAAATGTTGACAACGCGAAACGGGTGAATCGTGAAATGTTATCAGCACACCCATGTTGCGATTTTGTGTGGTATAAATTGTAAATTTCGTTCCGACATCAATTCGCCGATCTTTATATTTGAGTTTAAGTTCACGCGTTACACTACCCATGCACCGGCGACTCCAGACAATATCAATAAATGGTACACAATGGTGGGAAATATTTTGAGCCAGGTGATAATGGATTTTGTTATTGAGAACAAGAATAATGGATAGAATGAGGTTGGCAGGTGACATTTTCTAGACTTTTTTAATAAATTTTCTTTATTTATTTTCGAAATATTCTAACATTTTATTTTATAACAAATTCTGTTCTTCCAGTATTCACTAAAGTTATTATCTAAAAAACAAACATATTTAACGGAATTTATACGTTCTCTTGCTTAATTTTAAATATTTTTTTTAAACAAAAATAATTTGTTTTAAAGAACATGCATCAATATTTTGGCTATAATATTGAATTGTCTTTAAGAATAAAAATATATTTTTATCATACAACAACTTTGCTATGATTCAACGATAGTTTTCCACTGCGTACACGTTTTTGTAGACGCTGAAATGAGAGAGAAAAGAAAATAAATAAAAATATATGTACATATTTTTAAAGGACCCAGATAAGGCGTGTATTTTTAACCCTACGGTCAATAACCAAAAAAGTATACTTAGATCAATAACCGTTGTACATTTGTACCCATCCAAAGATAGCTCTGTAACTCATTAAAAAATTGGACTATCGTGAGGTTTTTTGTTCTAAATTAGTCTATACGGATCGTATCTAGATGTAGGAACTCAAAATTATATATACATTAAAATAATATATATTTAAATTCATGCTTAAATCATAATCTATCTAAAACAATCATAGTAAATTCGTTATAGCTTTCAAATGGGTTAAGCTTTTTTAGTTATTTTTTATTGGGATCTTATTTAGGTGTTCCTCAACCCCTCTGCAAATTTTTGTGGCCCTAGACAACGTTGGACCATCAGGGCGACTCGTGGAAATCGGAAACTACCTTGGTTTTCCTTTAGTATACAGGGATTGAAGGTGATGAAGCATACACCAGCTGATTATTACAATTTGGCTAGAAGAATGCATGCCCAATGATTGGAACCTCAGCATCCTGTGTCCCGTGTACAAAAAAGGAGAACTATAGAGGAAAATTAATACGGATATGCATGACAACTTGAACTGGCACAAGATCAGCAGTTGAAGTCGAAAAAGGACTTCTCGGAGCCCTTTAATACCGACCGAGGATTCAGACAAGGTGACAGTTTGTCGTGTGACCTTTTTAACATCCTGCTGGAAATGGTCACACGAGAGGCAAAGGTAAACAAAAATGACACTCTGTACACCAAACAAAACATATTACTCGCCTACGCCGATGACATCGATATAATGGGTCGAACATTGCGAGCGGTAACAGCCACCTTTGAACAAATTGAGAAAGGGTCTGCCAAAGTGGGTCTGGCAGTAAACGGCGTGAAGACCAAGCTGATGGTATCAACGCGCAAGACGTCCAGTAGACTCGGACCAACTGTTAAACTTGAGTACTACAGCTTCGAGGTAGTCAAAGATTTTATATACCTTAGTACCGCCATAAATAAAACTAATGACATCTGTTTTGAAATTCGGAGAAGGATAGTGTTGGCCAACAGATGCTACTATGATCTATGTAAGCAGTTTGGAAACAAGACCACCTCCCGCCAGACCAAACTCACACTTACAAGACGCTGATACTACTCGTGCTGTTATATGGATCTGAAGCATGGGTACTTGCGCAAGCAGATGAGGCAGATCTTTAGGTGTTTGAGAAAAAAATATCTACGATCTACGTCGACGGTGAATATCGGAGTCGAATGAACCACGAGCTGTACAATCTATACGCGGACATCGGCATCGTTGCAGCTCAATACGACTGACTAGTATTGAGCTGCAGCGACTACGGTGGCTAGGTCATGTTGTGCGAATGAATGAGAATGCCCCAGCTCAAAAGGCATATAAAAGCGAGCCTACCGATGGTTCCCGCAGAAGACAACATTTCGGAGCATGGTCTTTGAAATTGGAGGAGATTCGCACAAGACCGACGCGCTTGGAAATCTTTTTTATCTCGTCTTAGCCTGGTTTTATGCATGCAACTTTTGTAAGCAACTCGGCTGACTTCTTAGAAGTGAGAGGTATAAAAAATGACAAGGGTGAAGAAATTCGATAGAGAATGGAAGAGAGTAGCAGCTCGGCTTAGCTTGGTTTTATGCATGCAACTTTTGTAAGCAACTCGGCTGACATCTTAGAAGTGAGAGGTATAAAAAATGACAAGGGGGAAGAAATTCGATAGAGAATGGAAAAAAGTAGCAGCTCGGCTTAGCCTGGTTTTATGCATGCAACTTTTGTAAGCAACTCGGGTGACTTCTTAGAAGTGAGAGGTATAAAAAATGACAAGGGGGAAGAAATTCGATAGAGAATGGAAGAGAGTAGCAGCAAAGTTGCTTAAAAATGTTGCATGTATAAGACCAGACTTATGGAACAACCGTTCTGTAACAAAGACCAAAACAAGGAGCGGATTATTAAGGATTATATTTTTCAAGGACCGACCAAAACAAGGCGTAAATTATTAAAGAATATTTTTAAGAAGCAGATATTTATCAAAATCGTTTACTTACCAAATTAAAGACGTCACGCAGAATACGATTGCCACGACGTCGTTTCTCTTCTAATTCTTGTTGTTTGCGGGCAACAACTTCGGGAAGAGAGGCAACCCGTTTGTTGGTTAAGGCCTTCATTTCCTTGGTTTTCAAAATTCGTAACTTTTCTGTAAATAAAAACAATAAGAAAAAATCCCAAATTAGCAGTAGAAAAATCTATATACGTACATATGTATATAATTTTTTGGCAAATGAAAGGAAAAAACACTTACGCATTGGTGGCGGTGGTAGATATTTCAAACGTCGCTCCAGGGAATTAAAACTTGTATTATCGATAATATCCCTTAATTGACGATCGCGTTCCTGACGCATAGATTGCAGTTTATTAAGTATGGCTTTGCGTTCTTTGCTGTGTTTTAAGAAATTCGGTTTGCTTCTTTCCAAATGTTCTTGCAGTGTTAATTGAGGACCTTCTTTTTCCAAGCATTTCAGATTGTTTGTTGTAAATGTCGAGGTCGATTTTTGAAGATTGTCATCATTATTCTTTAAGCAGCTATTGTTGTTATTCATTTCTTTCGTATTGTCAAATTCGATAACATATGCAATACCCTTGGGTTTAACTTGTATGGCAGCCGCCTTCACTATGTTTGGTATAGTGTCTTTTAATGGTAGGGGACATTGTCTCCGGATATAGGGTTGTAATTGATGTTTATCACCATGATATAAGTCGGATGTTTGTGCACAACCAGCCACAGCAGCTGCAACATCATCATAATGATGAGTTGTTGTCGGGGTGGATGAACAATTTTTCGAACCCATTGGTACCGAACAATCAGAGGACATACAAAAAATAGAGGCCGAAGATGCTGTTGTTGTGGTGGTGCTGTTGCTGGTGGTGACAGATGTTGAGGGTTTTGGTAATTCCGGTCGCTTTTGAAATGCTCCGGTTGTTGCCGTACTATAAATCACATGCGATGATCCTGAGGAGGAATTGTTTGTATTTATCTCCTGTGGCGTTGGTGGTAAATCACTTTGTGGATAGGCATATTCTGTGGGTGAAAATCTTCTATTCATTGTGTGGGGTACTGAATAATAACCCTGCTGCCTTTCCTTTGCGTGGATCGGTAAATATTTAAATCCAGCCTCAACCTTTTGTTGTTGCTTTAAAATATCATAATGATTTTGTTTTTTAGTTTTATACGACGCCATAAATTCTTGTTTTCTTTGCTTTACCATGTCCCGTAAACTTTCTCCACCTTCCGCTGGGCTGTGATCGGCTGTTCCAGCACTTGGAGGTGTATCGATTTTTTGTCTTTGTATTGGTTTCTCGTCATGTTTATGTCCACAATTTTCTTCTTCCTTATGTTTGTGTTTAGTTTTTTGTATATTAATGTGCAACTCAAATTCATTTTCGACAACCGCACCTTTTGCCGGATTATTATTATATTCCAAAACATCTTCATTGGACTCTTCGAGTATTACTTCAATTTCCTTAACTAAACGTTCGGCGGATTCACTTAAAACAGATGATTTATCCGAGTACACCGAGTCATACAGCTTATCCGTGTGTTGTGTGCTGGAGTTAAAGGTTTCCTTCAAAGGCACAGAACTTTGATCGGAGGACATTAGAACAGAAGATGTATTATCATGATGATGATGTTGTTGATCTTTTAGTAATAAATGTTTCAAACACTCCAGACGATGTATTTCACTTTCAATCCAATTTAATTGTTTCTCTCGCCCACAACTGCTATGTTGTTGTTTGGATTTTTTGAGACTTTTTTCCCGTTTCAGAAGAGCTTCTTTGACGGCCTTCTTTTTACTTTCTTCTCGTTTCTTTTCCTCATATTCAATTTCGGATTGTGTCAACGGATTAAGCCATTCACGCATGGTGGCCTGATCGCCATCTGTGTCATAGGTGGAAATTGGTGGGTTTTTTCGCACTGTCTTTTGTGTGGGTAAATCATGGGATGATCTAGATGAGGTTGAAGTTGTTCCGGTTGTTTTGCTGGCATTTGTTTCCGACGAAGCTGTGGATGCGGTTTTTGCTGAATTTGCTGTCTTTGGCAATTTTTTAGACATCTCAGTACTGTTTTTAGATGAATTGCTTGTCTGTGTTGAACGTGTTGTTTTAATATTCAATATTAAATTTTCCATTTCTATTGGCTTTGGTGCCCCATCCTTTGTTTCGGTAATTAGTTCACTTTGCACATCTCTGATATGTTTCATAGCCTTTGTTGCTATTGTTGTAATTGGCACTTGCTTGTGATTTTCATTTAAAATATTTGTAGGTGGTGGAGAGGTTGATGTTGTTTTTGTATTTAAGGTATTTGTCTGTTGGCTTTTGTCACAGAGATTTTCGCTTTTCATATGCCCGGTATGAGGTTGAACAACACGGCCATTGTCGTTGCGAGGTTTGCCTGGAAATTAAAAAAATAGGATTAGTTATGAATAAAATTCTTTAAGGGCAAGTAAAACAAAAATTGTCTGAGTTTGCTCTATATATCCTGATTTGAACAGGGTTTATATACAGGGTTTATTTTATATTTTTTCCAATGGTCAAATATCCCAGGATTTTTAAAATATTTTTCCAAGAACCCAACATTAGGCATTGATTTTTAAAACTAGATCAAACAGTTTAGGATTTAATTTTTTCCAAGTGACAAATAGGTCCGTATTTTCAAATGGGAGGGAATGCACACTGCTTTAAAATATTTTCGGAACTTTGGAACCCCAACAAATGGAAAATAATGCCATTGTAATTAGTATGCAGCTAAGTGTTATAATAAAATCGGGTTCAAAATAATACTTACCTCGACTACCATCTTGTTCACTGGTCGAATTTACAGTCATATGGGATAGACATTGGTTGTAGGACCCATTCCCGTCCAATGATTTAAGACCTAATGATCTTTCCTCAGCTCTAGCTTTTGATGCTCTAACATTATTGTTGGGAAATTCATGAATACTTCGCGATGAACCATTACCCAGACGAGAATAAACAGCATCATACAAATTTGATTTATTTGATGATGTCGAATCTCCCCTCACTGAGTTCTGCTCCTGCACTGCTGACTGCTCATCAACTAAACGCGTAAGACGTTTTACTATATCACGAATTAATTTCTTTTTTTGTTTTTCGTTAACTTTTTTAGCATCGATAAGAGAACATATCAGCTGTATACCCAAATCCAATTCAGGAGCTTGTCGGGTCATTGAAAAAGAATTACTAGAGGATGCGGTTGTCGTATTGGCATGCGATTGATTTTCTTTATTTTCCTCTAGGGCAGCTTGAAAGCGATTTTTCAAGTCGTTAATGCATTCTCGTGGTGCTGCAGGTTTGCGTGATTGTATCGACTTTTCATTTAATGCCTTTCGTTTTCTCAACAAATCTGTAATGCTTGTTATAAATGGATGTTGAGCTGATGGTGGTATACTGACATTTGACAAATTACTTGACGTTCCGGCAGCCACCGATGATATAGATGATCGGGATTTAGATGATCTTGATGAGTAATATTCAAAACTTGAAGGCGTCGCTGTACCCTCAATTACCGAAGTCGATGAGCAGAGGGATACTTGAATTTCTTGAGATTGAGTTTCACGACTTGGTGCTGGCTTTACCATCGAGGTTTGAGCATATTTTTCAAATTTCTCTTGCAGTGATGTTGATGATGTACTTTTTGTCAGCATTTTTGGTCTGGCTCCACCACGGCTTTTCACGTTGGCCGAAAGACCCTCAACCAATGTACTGCAAGCCAAAGGAGGGGTAGCATGTTCCATGGCATTGCTTTTCATATTTTCCAATTGTTTATTTTCCAACTTCTTCGATTGTGGTTTATCTTCCAATATCTTTTGTTCGTCATGCAACTTAGTAGTTGCTGGTTCCGATGTGACACTGCTCTCCTTAAAGAACTCTTTTAGCAATGATCTCTCCAGCACACTTATATTACTTGTGGACATGGATTTTTTATAGCCAATATCCCCCAATGAATCCCATTCCAATCGTCGATGAGTCTTTGCAATGGAGTCGGGTGTTTTAACTTCTTGTATGGCCACGCCATTTCCGGCCTTTTTTGGTGTATGAAGATTTTCACTAGAGTTGCTAAATATCTTTACGGCATCATCCTCCAATTCGATATTAATATCCACCAGAATATCCTTTAGGGTGCCACCACTACCACAAAACTGTACCATCTCGTTTTCGTGTATATTGGGCATACTTTTACAACAACTGCTGCTGGCAACCAGTGGGTTGTTAGCTGCCATTTTCGCCGCCAATGCTTCACAGCTACTGTTCGATGATATTGCCTCGCTACCCGCCGGTGAATTTATGCGTAGGAATTTTTCCAAATTTCGATATTTACCAAATTTTTCATAATATTCCTCAATTGTATCGTTTATTCGTGGTGTTCTGGGCAGGCGACGTTCCATAATGTGTCGTGAGCGGAAAATGAATGCAATGGAATGCAATCAGCAATTTTACTTTTACCCACTAGCACGAGCCACGCACAGCAAGAAGCAGCTGTTGGTCTATTCAAATGCAACCAGCAGATGGTCATGAATTGGTATCCGCTACAAATGTTATTTTCTTCAATGGATGCGGTGGATTTTAGTTGTTGTGTTGTTGGATGTATATTCAAAAAATAGAAAGTTCCCTCCCATTTGAAAACGTACACGAACCACAAAGAAAAACAACCCCCCTCAGAGAGAAATGATGAGATAAACAATAATAGTATGGCTTGTCACCGGCAGAGGACGCTCCGAGAATGTGTCACTTTTAAAACAATCGTTTTACAACACTAAACAAAGCATGACTGGAAATAACGTTCACACAGATCGAGTAAAAATGTGTATCGAGCTATCAGTATGTATATATATATATATACATATAACCATAATATATTTTTATGGCATATTTTTTTAAAGAATTATGCGTCAACATATGCACAGTTTTACATATTTTTACCTCCGTTTATATTTGCTTTTCGTTAACCAGCACTTGTACATTATGCCGGCTTTGAAAGTAAACAGCCAACAGTGAAAACCGTTGATTCAAAATCTATCTCAGAGATGGATAGTTAACATTTATAAATTAACATGATAAATTTACTTTTTTTGTGTACGACAGCAAACACAATTAGTCTGTTCCCGTACTGCTTTATGAGCATTTATTTGGCATATATACAATGGAATTGACAATTTTAACCATCAGGCTTAACGAAATCCAGAACAATGTAAACGTACTGTTAGTGTTTTGGTTTCCGTCTGGTTGTTTTATTTTTGATAACACATAACGCGACGGATGGCTCAACACGAACATTCTGCTTAGCCCTTAGATGATCGAGACAAAAAAGGTTGCTGTTGTGATACGCAGAACGTTGCTGAGTGAAAGTCAGATGTTTTTCTCAAGTCGAATGTCAAAAATTTGGCTTTTATTTACGTTTTCACAATTGAAGTCAATTCACAATAATGGATTTTGACAGCAAACTTAACGGCAGCTGATATCCAGCTTGTCTCCCTGATCGACTCTATTTATAGGCCTTGGTCTGGATTAAGTATAGCTCATGATGCAATAATAAGGTGGTGTCTCGGGCATCTGTCAAAATTTTCCATATAATATTTCACATGGTTGGCAACATTGCACATCGTATTCAAGTAGAAATTACGCACTTTGACAGTAAATCAAGCCATCAGCTGCGTTAAATGGACTACCTATTTATTGTGCCATGATCCAGACCAACTATGATAAAGCGGTGCACGGTGAGAAAAACAGCTGTTTCCGATTTCGATGACTACCTGAGTGACCTTATTAATAGATCTTGACCGTGACCTATAAATAAGGCCATCCAGGGAGACCTGTGGGATATTGTGAATTAACTAAAGTCGTAAACAAAGTCGAAGTTTTTGACTTCAATAAAACAGACTTCAAATAAAAACATCTTTTTTCCTATTTCGATTGCTACCTGGGTGACCTTATTAAGAGATATTGATCTTGACTATCACTTCTATTATCGGTTACAGACTATCCAACAACCATGAATATTTTCTTGGTTCCCAGATGAATGACGAATATAAGATGTCACAATATCAGAAAAGCAACATTTGCGCAAGAGTGTCATTCAAAAGTAATAGTGTGTACACCGCTTAAATGCTGTACGACATGTGGTCTGTTCCCGTACTGCAAGAATCTACTACTTTTTACTACGATAACAAATTTTCCTTTAAGGGCGTTAACGCACGCAAAAAGTTAAAATATAAGTTAGCACATCCCTGCCAAACTAACAGGCAACAATGTTGCCTTTGTGAGCTTTGCTTGGTTGACTGTTGTGTGCTTAGCATGGAGTCGTGTTACGTCTGGTGGCGTGACCATGGGAAGTGTAGTGTCAGCGTATTGTCAGCAATTTTGATTTGTTTAGTTTAAGTAGAATAAGTTTTTGATTTGAATAAAGAAGGCAGTTCATTCTAACTCACCAAAAGGCACACAAGTCTTTTTATTAACTGGCGCCCAACGTGGGGCTTATTTAAAGGATTTACTTTGAAAAAAGTAATCTCTGACCCAACCCAAGTCGTCCAACTCGCACAAAAGGAATAAGCTCAGCACAAAAACAAGAACAAAAACTACTCAAGTCGTCCAACTCGCACAAAAGGAATAAGGTCTACACAAAAACCAGAACGAAAACTACCCAACGGAGGATCTACTTTGTATGAAGTCGTCCAACTAACGCAAAAGGGATAAGCTCTACACTCTAGAAAAGACGCCCTAAGAAGCTCTAAGGATCCACTAACATATTATAATATAAAACAAAGTCATGTAAGTGTATTACTCATTGAATTTAAAAAAATTTTTGTCGAAAAAATTGTGTGTCCAAAAACAGGTGAAAATATCAAGAGATTTTTTTTTTTTTTTTACTTCGTATAGTGCGTATTTAAAATATTTCAATTTCTGTGAAGTGATTAAGATTGTGTTATACCAACTTTTCTATAAAAAAATATATTATGAACGCGGACGAAATTTCAAAATTGATAGAATCCGCTGTACGTGCAGCGATTCAGACACATAAATCAGAAGTCGACAAAAAAGTCGACGATCTATCAAGAAAATTGTCGTCCATTTCCATAGGACAAACAGATGTAAAACCGTATGAGGAAGTAAAAATTTTTTCAACAATAACATGCGATGAGTCGCTAGACGTTATTAAATCTTTGCCCGAATTTGACGGGAAAATAGAAAATTATGTGTCGTGGAGACAAGCGGCACATAACGCGTATAAAGTTTTTGAAAGATATGATGGTAGCTCAAGGCACTACCAAGCAGTTTGTATCATTAGAAATAAAATCAGAGGACCGGCAGATGCAGTATTAGCATCATTCAATACGGTGTTAAATTTTAAAGCTATAATAAATAGGTTGGACTTTACGTACTCAGATAAACAACCAATTCACCTGATCGAACAGGAACTAAGTACCCTCAGACAAGGCGGACAGTCGGTGATACAATTTTATGATGAAGTGGAGAGAAAGCTCTCATTATTAACAAATAAAACTATTATGAGCTATGACAGGAATTTAGCTTTAGCCATCAATAACAAATACCGACAAGACGCACTCAGAGTATTTGTTTCCGGATTAAGGAAACCTCTCTGTGATGTACTCTTCGCGGCCCGCGCCGCTGATCTTCCCTCAGCTCTAGCCTTAGCGCAAGAAGTGGAGGCGAATCATGAAAGATACGTTTTTGCTACATCATTTGCAAATAGGAATGATGAAAAAAAGAGTAGGTCTGAAACCTCAAAAAAACTTCCATTAAGAAAACCGTCTGATAATAGTTATAACAATAACCAACAAAATTATCATAAACACAAAAACCCACATTACGAAAAGGGTGCTGATGCTAATTTACAGCCTAGAGATCAAACCGAAGAAATGGACTTGGACCCAACGTCTTCCAAATTCAGATCACCGACTAATTATGGTAACGGTAGAAATTCTCACAGACAACCTTTTAAGCGTCAAGCAGGGTCTGACCGGAGTACGGGCCCAAAATTTCAAAAAGTTAATCAAATAATTCCGGAAGAGCAGGCGGTACAATATGGTGACATAGCTCACTCTGAATTTGAAGACATAAATGACGAATTAAAGGAAGATTGTGATTATGTTAATTTTTTAGAGGAAGGTCCCTACTACCGTTTGTAAGGCGGACAGTAGCGGGGAAACCAATACGCCTTTTAATTGACACAGGGGCTTCGAAAAATTATATAAAACCTCTCCATGAACTGAAACATATAATTCCTGTAAGTACTCCTTTCTCGGTTCACTCTGTCAATGGACAAACACCTATTAAACAAAAATGTTTTGTAAATTTATTCGGCATGAACTCCACATTTTTCATTTTGCCAACTTTAACAACATTTGACGCTATTGTGGGCTTAGACCTATTAAAACAAATCAATGCAAACATTGATCTAAATAAAGGAGTCATCCTACATAATTCTGGCTCTGAACTTATTGAATTTTTTGAATGTACAGATGTTAATTTTATAGAAATTGATAAGATTGATGTGCCTTTCGCAGTTAAGGCGGATTTTCAGAAAATGTTAAAAAAACGAATGAAGGTTTTTGCTGATCCTAAAGAAGCACTACCTTACAACACAAATATCGTTGCTACTATTAACATGGAGAACGAAGAACCAATTTACTCTAAACTATATCCATACCCAATGGGGGTATCTGAATTTGTAAACTCAGAAATAAAAAAGTTGTTAGCAGATGGTATAATTCGACCTTCGAGGTCACCTTTTAATAGCCCAGTATGGGTAGTCGACAAAAAGGGTGTCGACAATCTAGGTAACCGAAAGAAACGTCTTGTTATAGATTATCGGAAGCTTAATGCCAAAACAATTAATGATAAATATCCTGTTCCGAACGTAACAATGATATTATCAAATTTAGGTAAAGCAAAGTACTTTACCACTTTAGATCTGAAATCCGGGTTTCACCAAATTGTTCTCGCAGAAAGAGATAGGGAAAAAACAGCATTCTCTGTAAACAACGGGAAGTATGAATTTTGCCGTCTCCCATTCGGATTAAAGAACGCTCCGAGTATGTTTCAAAGAGCTATAGACGACATACTCAGAGAGGAAATTGGTAAAACGTGCTATGTTTACGTCGATGACGTTATTGTTTTTTCAGAAACCAAAGAGAATCATGTAAAACATATCGACTGTGTTCTTAGGAAACTGCTCGATGCAAACATGAGAGTCTCTATTGAAAAGTCAAATTTTTTTAAATCCGAAGTTGAATACCTTGGCTTTGTCGTATCAAAAGAAGGTATAAAAACGGCACCATCAAAGATAAGTGCCATACAAAATTTCCCAGAACCAACGACGTTGTTCGCTTTGAGATCATTTCTTGGGCTAGCGAACTATTACCGATGT